GCACTGGGCAATGACCAAAGGTCATCTCCGTTGGATCCACCGATGACCACTGCAGCCTGCTAGTCTCCCTGTCCCTTCTCTGTTCTGCTCCACAATCTGCCTCTCGAGTCCTTCTCTTCTTCCTTACAAACACATCCTCTTTCCATCCTTCTCCTAGTGGTCTATTCATTGCTTCCCTTCCTCCCTGCCTTCCTTTTTTTCGATTTTATGATTCTAGCATGTCTAATATATATATATATATATATATATTTTAGTATTCCAATTTTTCTTCATCTCCTCCCCCTTTGTCCTACAAGCTGTTTGTTAGGTTTGTAGCTTTAGCTCTTCCATTTAGGTCTTTGATTCATTTTGAGTTGATTTTTGTATACGGTGTGAGGTATAAATTCATTCTTTTGCATGGGATAATCACTTGTCCCAGAACCACTTTTTGTAGAGACTGTTCTTTCCCCATTAGATGGTCTTGGCACCACTGTAAAAAATCAGCTGACCACAGATATAAGGGTTTATTTCTGGACTCTCAGCTCTATTCCATTGATCTACATGTCCGTTCTTATGTCAGTACCACAGTCTCAATGCTGTACCTTTGCAGTAAGTCTTGAAATCAGAAAGTGTGAGTTCTCCAACTTCATTCCCTTTCAAGACTGTTTTGGCTATTCTGGATCCCTTGAATTTCCATAAGAATTTTAGAATCAGCTTGCCAATTTCTGCAAAAAGGCAGCTGGGTTAGTTGGTTTTAATGTGTATTTATTAAAAGAGGTATTTGCTTGATTAGGCTGACAGAATGACCATTAATAGGACTGGCAAATTTTCTCTTGCTATGGAGTTTAGAGGTAAGTTTGCAAAAATTCCACTTGATGCTGGGGCAACAAGACTGATAGCCAAGGGTACTGGAAAACACATGAGTTTGGAGGTTAGACATAAATCATGATTAAGCCCCAGATATGCAACTTAAGATGCCACATGACCTCGGACCAGTCATTGACCCTCTCCATGCTCCAGCGTGTCACCTGTGATGAGAACGGGGACATTCCATCCACTCTGCAGTGCTGTGGACCAGAGACGATGCCATCACAGAGGCCCATGAGGGCGGGTTCCTTCCCTCGCTCCGCTCCTTCCCAGGAGTTCAAGGACTTCCCTACCACATTCTTTTCTTTTTTTTTTTAACAGATGACCGGTAAGGGGATCTTAACCCTTGACTTGGTGTTGTCAGCACCGCACTCTCCCGAGTGAGCCACGGGCCGGCCCTTACCTACCACATTCTTACAGGACTCTCTGGCCCGAGGGGCACTGTGGAAGCCAGTGGCCTGGTGACCAACTCCCGACTGTTTGTCTGTAGCTGTACAGGGAATACTCTGAGGTGTGGCAGGCAGAGGACAAGTGGGTCCCTAGGCACAGTGCCATCGTTCTGGTGCCCTGTCCACCCATCCCTCCCCTTGTTAAACACACAGGGACCTTCCTGCTCTACTCAGGCCCAAGTCTGATCCAAATCAGGCTCCCAAGAGGAAGATGGTCTAGAGTGAGGGTGACAGGTAGGCAGGATGAGCTACAAAGCTCTAACCATGACAGCTAAGGAGCATCAGTCTCTGAGTAGGTCCAGTGGCCTCCACCTAACATCCCATCATTCAACACACACTGACCGAAGGCCTGCTATGCAAGGGGTAAGGATAATAAAATATGACAATAAAAGGAATTTCAACTTCTACCTTTCTGTGTTATGAAGGGCTACTCCCCGGTCTTCCTCATCATTTCAAATATGGTAGTTTAATATTCTACCAATTTCAGGGTCTTCCCGGATACTAGATCACTTTGCCTCCCATACAGTGTCCCCTCACTTGCCATTGTTTGACAGGCAAAAATTCCTCCTGATCTATGCTCCATCAACTGATATGGAGGCTGAATCCCTGAAATAAAGTCACCTGCATGCTAGTATTTGCAAGAGGCATGGACTTGAACCCTTACATCTGAGGAAGTCGTAGGAATGGGTATGAAATAGATAGGGTCACAAGCTCCTCACTGTCAAATTTTACAGAATAAATATTTCTGCTCTGTCAGAGCTCACATGTAAATTCACATGAGTATGTCTCTACACCAGTTAGAAAGAAATAAACAGCCAAGTGGCCAAGAGAGTCCCCATAGTATCACTCAGTTTCTTCCTTGCTGATGAATCCAACCTGAAGTCTGTGCCTTCGAGGGAAAGGACAGAGCACAAAAGGTGCAACTCGGTCCCTAAAGTTATTTCTCCTTCTCTGGGTGAGGACTCCACCTTCACCAGCACAAACCCAGCTTAGAAACGCTTTTTAAGCTCATGTCACTTGTTTATAATATGAGATCATATCATCCAGAGTTTCAAAAGTGACCGGTGGGACTTGTGGTGAACTTTCAGGGACAGGAGGAGATGACATATGTGAAGAGCTGGGTTCGTGGCTCTGGCCAGAGTGCTGCCTTGGGTCACTCTGTGCTGGTCCAGGTCTGCTCCATGTCTGGTTACTGAAAGAACCAGTTCTCCTTTGACCCACAAAGTAATCTGATGGCGGGGCAAACTCAGGATCTCTCTCTGCCCGGAGATCTGACTGCCTCTTCGACCAGTAGCCAAAAGAAAATTCTAGTGAAAATAAGAAAGAGTATTAATAGAAATGATTAATGAATCAGTTTATTTATTGTTACTATTTTTCAACTGTTAATATATATTTCTTAAAAGTCACCTCAAATTCTCTGGAGAACAAAGATAGCAAAAACAAAACAATATGACGAGGTATAGGAAATACCTAAATCAAAAGTATAAGAAACCGGGCTAAGAAAAGGGAGTGACTACTTCCAGATAGGGAAAGATTTGAGGGAGGCTCTGTTGAGAAGGCTAGTAGGCTCCGGAGACACTGCCAAAAAGGCACTAAAATTACATTTGAGGGTGAAATATAGAAAAATGAAGCACTCAAATCACGGACACAATGTTGTAGGTACTCCACATCAAAACACAAATTTTGTCCTTTTATTGAGTTGTGGAAGACACAAAAGGGACCTGTCCAAATCTAATGTGAAATTTCACCTCCATTTCTAACAGTGGCTCTTACACTTCTCTTATTTTGGGTCTTATCAGCTCGAACGGCATGTAGAGCTAATGATCTACCGAGATGATTTCCAAGAGGCACAGACCATGGTCTTCCAAAGAGAGGCCACTGCTGTAGGCACCATGGTGAATTTACAGAAAAAATGTACAGAAAAGTTTGCATACTCCAAAGGAAACATAACTGAATCCAGGTTAAAATACTGGCATACAGACCATTTTCAAAAGAATATAAAAGAGACTGCAAAAACACAGAGTACATCAGAACACCAAACCTTCATAATACTGTAAAAGTGGTTCCTGAGAGGGGCCGGCCCGGTGGCGCACTGCTACAGTGCA